CCTTTATTTACAAATTTATTATTTACCAACTCACCATCGACATCTGATATGATAGTCCCATTTTAAGTAAAGTTCATAAGGTCCTTAGGAAATTAAAAATGTGGCGGCTAAACTAAGAAGATGTATCTTATTATGTTTATATTGACCACAACATTCAATATATAATTTTAAAAATTTGTAAATTCGTGGTAACGAAATGTGTGGCTTTAAAATTTTAATTTTAATGATAACTTTATAATTACGATACGGTTACCACAGTTTTCTTAATTTATTAAGGACAATATAAGTCCTGCTAAAATATTAAAATACAGATCTTAGGTACTAGAAGCATAAAAACTTAATTTTTCTAAAGGAAAGTTCAAATTAAAAAAAAAATAGTTTAAAATCTTCGAAAAAATTAAAATTTGTCAAAAATGGACGTCTGAGCTCTGAAGGTTCTAGTAAATTGCAGAGTAAATTTTACTTGGAGTTTTCCGTTGAGTTTTGCCGTTGTAGATTATTGAGAGATTTGCAAGCTTTTATTAGAGTTTTACTAATTTTAATTGTTAAAGTAGAGAAAATAATGTTCCACTGCTCATACACTCTCAAAGGAAAAATAGTAGCACTATATGAAACTGGAAAATCCATCAGAGAAATTAGTTGGGTACTGAATCTAACGTATTATACAGCTAGAATGAGCATTATATCATTTGAGGTAAATAAATTGTATTTTTAAGTTGAAAATTCAGAATTTAAAGGTATATATTTCGAAATAAATTCCTTATTACTTAAGTATATAAAGTTGTAATCAGCATCTGATTTTATTTTTAAATTTTTTTATACATTGTTGTAAAAAAAAAATTAGTTTCTCAAAACTATTTGCATTATTAACTGTTTAAAAGATCCTTCTTTTTTCAGTAATTTTATGTTAAACTATATTTGAGATTTACTTGTAAAATAAAAGTTCATGGAGCCTAAATCTAATTTGATTTTTAAAACCTTTGATGGATTGTAAAATTTTACTTGTAGTAAAGAATTGATTATTCTGCGCTTATAAATAACCGGATTTATAAATTCTGTTTGTAACTAGAGAATAAACTTAATTAAAAGTAATGAATTGAAGGAGCACTTTACGCACTAGACAAAATATTTCCCCGGATTTGGCCTCCATTCTTGCCAGCCTACTACTACCCTTAACTACTTCCAGCATTTATGTAAACAAATCCCTTTGGTATTTTTTTTTCTTTTCTGAAATTATTAGAAGATGGCCCCAGAAATAATCAGTGAATAAATAGCTTATCAAAAATATTTAAAAATTAATGCTGTTGGTAGGAAATATTCTTCCTACCGACTTATATCAGATAAAAATGCTTAATAAAATAAATTATCTGAAACTAAATGCGTATGTGGTAGATAACTCTTTTAAGTTTTACTGAGTTGAATTAATAATTTAACTTTTCGATCAATTAGTCAGTGATCCCTCTTAAGCATTTTGAACTAAACAAATATTGTGTAACATAAATGAGCTAAATACCACAAAACTTCACATTTCTAAAATTAAAAATTATATAAATAAAATAATAATTCTGCGAAACACGCGTGGACAGTAACTAATTTATTTTGAGATTAAGACGATATATGAGATGTTGAGAAATTTTAAGATATTTAAAAATGTTGACTACATATTAGCATTAATAATTATAAAATATATAGTGAAGAAATCGATACACATATTATTCCAAATCTATGCCTACCTTTGTATATTATTAAAATTGTATAAATTATTGAAAGAACAAACTAAAAAATAAAATTAAAAAGAGCTGATGTATAATTACATTCTATCAGAAACATGCTTTTATAAAACTCAACATTTGTTGAAAAAAATGCTTTTTTTCAATAAAATGTTTTATTTAAATCTCTTTATTAAATTACGAATAAATTTCCAATACCTAGTTTTGTTAGGAGAGCAGTTCAAAGTTTTGAGCAATTTATGTTAATTCTACTTTTTGCGTATTTCACCATATCCCCAAAACCTTTATAGGAATTTGAAATATTTTTGCGCTCAGTTATAAAATTCGTTTATCTAAAAGGAATTCTATGCAAAACATAACTTATAATAAATGGTAATTATTTTATTTAATAAGAGTCAAAAAATTGAATAGCAAGGTAGAACTTTCACTAATTGACCGATTTCACTGATTTTTTATTTAAAATTGCATTCTCTTAAATGATTGTCATTGTATACAATGCAAAATTTTTCCGACTAATATTAAATAAAAAAACTAATGATTATTTACTAAACGATATATTTTGTGTGGAATTATATTTGAATAACCGAATTTGACAATTGTGAACAAAACTTTTTTCAATTCGATTAAAAAGTATTCCAGACTTAGTAAAATACACAAAAAGTAAAATTAATATTAAGGGATTCAAGTTTTGGAACTCTCTTCTGTTCAAACTATTAGAACCATATTTCCTTTGTTCCGGCTACCCAATATATCTTGGGGGTCAGAAATCCACACGCGTAAAAAAGTAGATTCACTCAGAGAAAGTGAATTTTTGTGTCTGATTTCGTAAAATATTATTACTACTATAAGACTATGTCTTTTTTGTGTTAAAAGGGCATTTATATTCTATTTCTTTACGTTTTGATTAAAAGCATTTAGAGGCCAAATACTGTTTTAGGGGAGGGATTCTGGACCTCAATTTAAATCAACTTAAATAGAGTTAAACCGTTTAATTCTCATTATATTAATTATTTGTATTTGCTTAATCTTACATGGTTACTGCTACTTTATAACCTGAATTAATAGTGCTTTGTTTTTTTAATCAAGTGGAAAACTGTATTCTTTCTTCCAAGATGTAATTTATCTGTCCTTTTAGCATGACGCTGATCCACCTAAATAGGACCAACAGAACAGAAATTAACAATAATTCCTGCTACGTGCCATGAGGACATATGTTGCCCGAAGTGGTGGGCATTGAAAAAATATTTCCGAGAAGTATTAATCTTCGGAATGTCTCGCACATCATTAAAAGTCATCTTAAGAACTAACAGTTAAAATTAAGTCAGTCACTTTCAAAAAAAAAATCNGACAATTGTGAACAAAATTTTTTTTCAATTCGATTAAAAAGTATTCCAGACTTAGTAAAATACACAAAAAGTAAAATTAATATTAAGGGATTCAAGTTTTGGAACTCTCTTCTGTTCAAACTATTAGAACCATATTTCCTTCGTTCCGGCTACCCATAATATCTTGGGGGTCAGAAATCCACACGCGTAAAAAAGTAGATTCACTCAGAGAAAGTGAATTTTTGTGTCTGATTTCGTAAAATATTATTACTGTAAGACTATGTCTTTTTTGTGTTAAAAGGGCATTTATATTCTATTTCTTTACGTTTTGATTAAAAGCATTTAGAGGCCAAATACTGTTTTAGGGGATTCTGGACCTCATTCTAAATCAACGTAAATAGAGTTAAACCGTTTAATTCTCATTATATGAATTTGCTTAATCTTGCATGGTTACTGCTACTTTATAACCTGAATTAATAGTGCTTTGTTTTTTTAATCAAGTGGAAAACTGTATTCTTTCTTCTAAGATGTAATTTATCTGTCCTTTTAGCATGACGCTGATACACCTTAATAGGACCAACAGAACAGAAATTAACAATAATGCCTGCTACGTGCCATGAGGACATATGTTGCCCGAAGTGGTGGGCATTGAAAAAATATTTCCGAGAAGTATTAATCTTCGGAATGTCTCGCACATCATTAAAAGTCATCTTAAGAACTAACAATTAAAATTGAGTCAGTCACTTTCAAAAAAAAAAAAAATTATTATTTTGTTTCTTGTTAGTGTTTGAAATTTTATAAATTAGAATGTTTTTAAAGAATAACAGAATATTATATTTCAAGTTTATACGACTGTATAATATTTTTATGACTGAATTAAATGATAAATTTTATATTATGCCTTTTGAGGCACAATAAGAGTGCACAATATTTAAAGAGGGCACAATATTTAATTTTTAGAGACAGAACAATCATCAAAGTTATACAAAATCCTTGAGCTCCTTAATAAAANGCCGTGAGGAAGGATAAATACTAATACAGATCTTAGACAGGGAAAGAGGGCACAATATTTAATTTTTAGAGACAGAACAATCATCAAAGTTATACAAAATCCTTGAGCTCCTTAATAAAAGTTTTCCCATAACTCCGGCTTTTCTTCAAGTCAAGTGCTAGCTTCTATTGGTCAATACTTTCTACTAACATACTTTAGTAGAAAGTATTTAATCATTTAAACTGAAACAGTTGTAGTGATATAGTAGAAATGATAAATAAATGAATAGCTTGTATATAAAGTTAATTAAATACCTAGAATAGATATTCTATAAAATAGTGTAATTCTCTGAATATGTATCTTCAAGAAATGATAAATAAATTAGTTACTTTTTCTTTTGATAATCTTTATTTTTACCTTTTTATTTATTTATTTTTTAAGTATAGCTGCCAACACTGATAGGAAAAAATCCAGTAGATGTTTACTCAGAATTTTGAATAGTAATAGGCATTTAATTCATCAAAGATAGTTAAAATATTTTTTTAATTAAATTAAAAAGAGAGTTCTGAATAAAAATAACCTGAACATTTTTGAACAAAAAAAAAGTGTTGAACTATTTTTTATAAATGAGGTTTGCATCATTATGAATTATTAATACTTATTTAAATATTCAAGCAATAATCTGCACAAAAATTCTATTTCAATAAGGATTTTTTTTAGGAAATTTCCTCAATATTAGGGAATTTTCTAAAATGTACAAAAACCAGGAGAAATTTTAATGAAACCAGTAAACCAGGAGAAACTGGCCTAATCCAGTAGTCTACTGGATAATCCAGTAGAGTTGGCAGTTATGTTTAAGTGGTAATTAAGAGATAAGCATATGTATAAAGTACAAAATAGGAAGAAAAATTATAAAGTTGGATCTGACAATTTAAAGCATGTCCATTTTTTTTGTTGTTCTTATACAATAGACAAGAGTATTGGTAGCCAGCTTGACTCTATGAAGGTGCTTGCTGGTGCCATCATATAAGGTCATCCTGAGGAAAGGAGCAGCTAAAAGTCTTCTTTATAACTATCGTCTGGTTAGCCAGCTGTAAAATAGAAGCATTTTTCTTGATAAAAAAAAATAGAAATCATGTTACCTTAAAATTCTGCAGTGGGTCAGAATTTAATCTAAGACTTCAACTATATATTAGAATCTGAAAACCATGCCAAACAATAAAGAGCATAATTATTTTTTATGAATTTAAAAAATATACAATTGTATTTATTACATATTGCAAAATCAATGACTGAAATGTTATCATGTTATGGCACAAAGATATTCTTCAAAGTAAATGAAAATCTGCATAAACCATTGTAGAAACATAGTCCTGGTAAACATATCTCACAGAAAAGCTTTAAGCAGACAATGCTGTGAGACTATTCCCCGGGACAAATATGGATCANTCATCAGTAGAACAAACAGCAATGTGAATACTAATAATTTTTTTTTATTAAAAACAAATTATATTAAATATTTAAAGAATAATTTCTTATATAATCCAGGCAAAAGCTAGAAGAGAACAAGTTGCTTCAAATTAGTATTGCACTCAAGATACCTTGTGAAAATTTCAATCGATGGCTAAGTATATAACAGCTTTTTAAATTGTAAATCTAAAAAGGATTGAATACATTACTTTGAATCAACTTGAGTAACAGAGTGAAAGAGGGACATTTAACACAAAAGTATACATTTTAAGAGAACACTTTCAATTACCAGAAAAGTGTTATAAGCATGCACACATACAATTACATATATAAGAAAAATACCCAAGATTTATTAAACCTGGCTCATCCAACATCTTCCGGGAATACTTGGGACACCGTCAGAGTAGTTTCACTACACTTTTGAGTGGAAGCGCTACTCCAACTCATACTTTGGGATTTGGTGCATTCGTCACTTAAAAAATCAAAACATAAAAAAGGAGTTGAAAAGGGTGTTAATATCGGAAGGCATGTTGACGCAGTTAACAGAACATTGAAGCACACATCCACAACTAGGCAATCGCTCTCGTGCTTTGCTAGTCGACCAAAAAGCTTTTATTAACAATAAAAAATTGGCCCACTTCCTCCATGCATGCTTAACTTGTAATGAGGTTGAACTAATTCTCTTAACTCAACCTTCTAGCATTCAGGTGTTCACTCAAGTATTATAGTTACAATGGGTTTTGCAAAAATGAATTTTTGAATCACATAGTTACAGTCTAGTAAAAGAAGTAAAAACTAAAGGAAGATAGTTCTCGTTACAATTTTAAGTTATGTCTAAGTGTTGATAGGTTACTGGGTTACAAAGTTACATTGAGAGTTAAATTGTTAAAATTAAATAAATTATTGTTAAGACAGGTTTGCTGCTTGGTTTCTTATTTTCAATTCCTTTGCAGCTCTCCAATTTAGTCAGGTTATTTACGTCTGAAAGAGAGGGGTAGTGTCTAATTAATCTTATTTAATATTTCTATTGCAAAACAAATTATATTAAATATTTAAAGAATAGTTTCTTATATAATCCAGTCAAAAGCTAGAAGAGAACAAGTTGCTTCAAATTAGTATTGTACTCAAGATACCTTGTGAAAATTTCAATCGATGGCTAAGTATATAACTAAAAGCACAGCTTTTTAAATTGTAAATCTAAAAAGGTTTGAATACATTACTTCGAATCAACTTGAGTAACAGAGAGAAAGAAGGACATTTAACACAAAAGTATACATTTTAAGAGAACATTTTCAATTACCAGAAAAGTGTTATAAGCATGCACACATACAATTACATATATAAGAAAAATACCCACAAATTATTAAACTTCCGACACCTTCAGAGAAGTTTCACTACTCGTTATTAAAAAGCATAATAAACATTATTACAAAGCAGTAATGTTAAATATATCACATTATATATAAGCAGTAACATTCATTCATAGAAATGTTAAATATTTTTTTCTCGGCAAAAGACAGACGAGAAAAAGTTGCTTCAATTAGATAACAAGATATCTTGAATTGCAATCAAGATATCTTGTTCAGATTTCAACCGATGGTTGAGTATATAATTAAAAACACAACTTTTCAAATTGTAAATCTAACAAAGGATTTCATGTATTAATTTGAATCATCAGGAATTACAGAGTGAAAGAGGGTCATTTAACAAGGAAGTATACATTTTAAGAGAATATTTTTAATAACCAGGAAAGTGTTATGAGCATGCACACATACAATTATATATATCTAAAATAAAAAATGCCCATGATTTATTAAACCTGGCTCATCCAACATCTTCCGGGAATACTTGGGACACCGTCAGAGTAGTTTCACTACCCTTTTGGGTGGAAGCGCTACTCCAACTCATACTTTGGGATTTAGTGCATTCGTCACTTAAAAAATCAAAACATAAAAAAGGAGTTGAAAAGGGTGTTAATATCGGAAGGCATGTTGACGCAGTTAACAGAACATTGAAGCACACATCCACAATTAGGCAATCGCTCTCGTGCATTGCTAGTCGACCAAAAAGCTTTTATTAACAATAAAAAATTGACCCACTTCCTCCATGCATGTTTAACTTGTCATGCGGTTGAACTAATTCTCTCAACTCAATCTTCTAGCATTCAGGTGTTCACTCAAGTATTATAGTTACAATCGATTTTGCAAAATTTTTGAATTACATAGTTACAGTCTAGTAAAAGAAGTAAAAACTAAAGGAAGATAGTTCTCATTATTACAATTTTAAGTTATGCCTAAGTGTTGATAGGTTACTGGGTTACAAAGTTACATTGAGAGTTAAATTGTTAAAATTAAATAAATTATTGCTACGACAGGTTTGCTGCTCGGTTTCTTATTTTCAATTCTTTTGCAAGTCTCTAATTTAGTCAGGNTACGTCTGAAAGAGAGGGGTAGTGTCTGATTAATCTTATTTAATATTTCTATTGCAGAATCCACCAGAGTTTAGACATAAATAACAGCATTTAAAGAACAAGACAATCACAGGATATCACATCACAACATTTAATAGTTAGTCACAGCACAGATTTTTTAAAATTTATTTTCTTTGCATATGACATAAATGAGCTCACGGCCAACTGCTTGATTGGTGGGTGCACTGCCTACGGTAGAAACTAGTTGCAGAACTGTGGTGAACAATAATTTTGTACAAAATAAGAGGTAAACAGCAGAGCAACAATTTTGTGCTTTTGTATAAACAAGTGAAGTTTATTTAAAAATGATAAAAGATTTCCCTTTTGTAAGAGATAATAAGCCTGTGTATAGTTCATTTTGTAAAAATACATCTTTAACCTTAGCTGATAATTGTATGAATCAACTTGAGTAACAGAGTGACATTGAACACAAAAGTACACATTTTAAGATATTTTTAATTACTGGAAAAGTGTTAAGCATGCACACATGCAATTACATATATATATATTAAAAAAAAAACATTCGCAGGCTCACTCATGTTGACGCAGTCAACGGAATATTGGAGCACACATCCACAATTAGACAATCTCTCTAGTGCTTTGCTAGTTGACCAAGCTCCCATTATTAACAATAAAAAATTGGCTCACTTCCTCCATATATGTCTAACTTGTCATGAGATTGAACTAATTCTCTCAATTCAATCTTTTAGCATTCAGATGTTGCCCTGTTACGGTTGGGTATAGAATAAAAAATGAAAAGTTGCAAAAAAATGATAACAACTTTGAAAAAAATTTAAAAATAAATGGCCGGGTGAAACATATATGGTGGTACATTTACGAAGTTTGGCTAAATTCACAACCCACAAGAAATATTAATTTTTAAAAAAAAGTTCCAGAAGATAACAAATGTATTCTACAAAAAAACATACCTTCCTCTCCATAGAAGATATCCAGTCCTGGATCAGAGATGAGTTTACAAAGAAAATCTCCAACAATCTGTGGTTACCTTCTAGGAAATCCAGATGAATAAGTCACTATTAAAACAGTTATTTCAAACTAAAAAAAACTCTTTATTTTGAGGATCCATATTTAACGGCAAAAATAGTGTCCAATACACAGTCTCGGGTGGAGAAGTGGGTGAAGGGTAATAAATTCAGGAACACGAAAATTTTGGATGAAAACTGACTTAGACGAGATCAAATTCAGATTGCATGTTGACGATCATTCTCCTCCATCTTAGAGAGCAATTCTATCCATTAACCAATAAGTGAGAACCGGAACCCAAGGTGTTAGCAGCAATACCGACAGTAGAAGCACACTCCCGGATTTTGGGATTCTTGATAAGAAAGCATCCATCGCAAACAGTTTACTCAAAATTGAAGATAACGTTTATGTTTTTTATGAATAAGATTTTTATGATCAAAAGTATACATTTTAAGATATTTTTAATTGCTGGAAAAGTGTTAAGCATGCACACATGCAATTACATATATACATATATTAAAAAAAAAAAAAAAAAAAAAAAAAAAAAAAAAAAAAAANAAAAAAAAAAAAAAAAAAAAAAACATTCACAGACTCACTCATGTTGACACAGTCAACGGAACATTGGAGCACACATCCACAATTAGACAATCTCTCTAGTGCTTTGCTAGTTGACCAAGCTCCCATTATTAACAATAAAAAATTGGCTCACTTCCTCCATATATGTCTAACTTGTCATGAGGTTGAACTAATTCTCTCAATTCAATCTTTCAGCATTCAGATGTATTATAGTTATTATGGGTTTTAGTCAATGAGAGTTAAATTGCTAAAATTAAATAAATTATTGTTATGACAAGTTTGTTGCTTGGTTTCAGACTTTCAATTCTTTTGCTGGTTTCCAATTTAGTCAGGTTACTTACGTCTAAAAGAGAGGGGTAGTGTCTGTTTAACCTTATTTAATATTTCTATTGCAGAACCCATCAGAGTTTAGACATAAATACTAACAGCATTAAGAAAAAGGCAACCATAGGACATAACATCACAACATTTAATAGTTACTCATAGCACAAATTTTTAAAAAAAAATTTATTTTCTTTACATATGACATAAATGACCTCACAGCCAACTGCTTGGTTGGCGGGTGCACTGCCTACCAAAGAGACTAGTTGTAGAAATGTGGTGGGCAATAATTTTTTTACAAAATAAGAGATTAACAGCAGAACAGCAATTTTGCGCTTTGTATAAACAACTGAAGTTAATCTTTGCCAGGTCCTGTGAGTGTGCCATTTACATAGCACATGGGAAATTGTATTGAATGAAATAGCTGTAACTTTATCATTAGTCATTATACAATTACTATGTCTGGAATTTTAGATTCAAGAGAAAGAAATAATGGTTTCTACATCTGAACTGCTAGTAATAAACTGTGGTACTGGATAACTATGCCCAAACTATGTAACTGTAGTTTATCTGAAAACATGATAAATATTTGTGTTATGCAGGGCTCAAAATTAACGGCGGTCCGTGACCAATAAAATCGGAGTCGGACCAGCATAAAATAATAAACAGTGGCCCGCCGGACCACCATCCGCCGCAGCCGATCTCCGTTAAAAAAAAATAAAAAATTTTAATTTTATATAAAATTATAATTGAGAATATATTTTATAAAATAAGAGCCAAAAGGAATAATAAATGCTATGGTTGTAAGACTAATTATAAATAACTAAAGATTTAAACAAATTACCAATTTTTTTTTAATATTACTAAATGCTTTGTTTAAATCATCTTGATAATTCGTGCTAATTTCAGATGTTTTTCTCCTTTATTTTTTATTTTTATATTTTATGTCCTAAAACAATCATATTGTTTATTTTTGTTACATTATGATTATGTATAGTTTAATAATTTTGTGATTACTTCAAAATTGAGTAAAAATCATAGTTCTTGATTGCTAAAATATTCTTTTCTAATTAATCTTAGTAAGTAGTATAATTAATCTTATTTCCTTCTTAAATTCTAAGTATATTTATGCAACTTGTGTATTTGAGTTACTTAAAACTATTTTAAAGCTTATTTGCAATTTTTTTTAAAAAATTTTTTATACAAAATTAATATTAATCAAAAAAATGCGATTTAAATCAAAAATGTAAGATTTTTTTAAAAAAAAAATCATGATTTTTTCAATCAAAAATTTTAATTTTTTTTTTTTTATTTGCAGCTAATAGGAACGCGTAGACGGACCAGTAAAGTTTTGTGCGGACTAGTAAAATGTTTTAGTTACTGGTCCTATGGACCAGTAATTATTTTTTTTCCATTTCTACCCCTATGCTAATACTACTAAATCAGCAAGTAAAATTTAAATAGAATCAAATATTAAAAAACAAACCTCATATTTCTTTTAGACTGTCTCTTATACCACACAACTTGCAAACTTAATTCTGGTTTTTCCGATCAGACAGTAACAGACTGATGGCTGAAATAAAAATTTTTTAAAAAAATAACATAAACAACTAACTTTCTGATACAAGTACTATGTTAACCTTAAAGGAGAAAATACAAATCTTTAAAAAATAACCACAGCATCAAACCAATATTAACAAAAATATGGTTTAATAATAAAAGTTTATAAACTTTTCATTGCTTTTTTTTCTGTTCTCCTCTTTTGCCCATATTTCATTTAGGGAGAAAAAAGAGACCTTACATTACTTTGAAAGTTTTATAAGTAAAAATCAACCATGTTGAATACTTATGCATGATAATTCATTTATTAAGAGGTAAGATTTAAATACTTTTAAAATCTTTCACCATTTTTAGAGATTGAATGCTAAAATAATAAATTTCTAAAATTGATAAAGCAAATAGAATAAATAATTTTTAAAATAATTAATATAAAAAATATATTAATAAATTTATTGTTTAATAATAATAGAGGAAGATAATAACCAGCAAAACATTGACTTTTTCTTAACCTACATTTGATTAAAGACAAATACTGATAAACATTAAAAGATATTTATTTTGACTTTTATTATTTTATTAAAATTTTAATTTGCAAACAGAATACTACAACAATATAGTTGAAGAAAAAAAACTAAAACACTTAAAATGCCACAGTTAATATACAATTAGTTGAATAATCAAAATAAAAAACATTATACTAGTAGCAATAGTACTAACTACTGATACTAACTGAAATACTCGTATTGGCTCCTCTTAATCTGTCTGTCATTTAAGCTAAAAAAAGAATAAAATTAGATGAATCTCTGTGCAATAGACAAATTTTTATTACAGTAATCTCTCTACTTAGTTTTGTATAATGTTACTTTGTATATACCAAATATATTTAAAGTGAAAGAGTATTTATAATTCAGGGGCAATGTTCTTAGCGATCTTCCCTCTGTCCCTCAGGGGCAGAACCACAACCGTTGTGAGAATTAGTACTTAAATTAACTCATAACATTCTATTGCCTCTAAACATTTTTCTCCATTGTGTAAAGTAGTACAAAGAAGAATATCAGGGAAAAAAACACTTTCTACTGAATATTTTTCCTTACAGCATCAAAGTGCTAAGTCTGATGCAGTTCTTTGACTACTCTCTCTTGTTTGAATGGGCTGAGTTGTGGTGATCAGGCTTAAATGTCAAGACAAGAGTACAATGTTTTCATGAATCTAGTTAACATATATATAAGTAAACATAAAGTCGTGTATACATACACTTTCTTTTTAGCAACTTTGTCATGCATTCTTCACAGACTGAATATTGTCCTGTCAGTTTTAATGAATGCCATCTTTGCTAATACATTCATCTGCGACAACATCAATATCTCAATAAGGTTAAACATTTAAGAAAACAGTTAAATATGTCACCATGGAATCCCCTAGTAAAAAGAGTAAAGGCGACAGAAGAAATAAGCAAGGCTTGGTTTACATAGTAGTTTTTGACTTAAGCATTAACTGTAAAAAATCTTGGAATTTTGAGAAAATAAAAATTATAGATAGAAAAAAATATAAATAGTTTGTAGTAAATGAAAAATTTAATTTCAAATTAAAATCTAAATAAGTTAATTTAAATTGTTATTAATTTGTTAATATGAGTTATATTCTAAAGAAATATAATAATTTTATATGCATTTGAAATAAAAATTAAATTATGTGTACAAATTGTTTTGCACATAAATGTGATACATATAGAATAAAATTTCTTGATTATAGTATGCATGCTCATAATTTATGTAATAGTTTAGACAATCTAAAAGAATAATAAGAGCAGTAATTGTGAACGAAAATGATAAATATTATCCAAAATTCAAAATAAGAATTTTTCTGTTTCTTTACAGATTCATATTTAGAATTTCTTTTTAACATAAGTTTATAATAAAATTGAAACAAAACTATTATGAATATGATTTAAGAACTCTCCCCTGTTATGAAGAAAATTCAATACAAAAGCTTCCTATCAAAATAAAATTTAATTAATATATTTTCTAGAAAAAAAATCTCTTTGTATTATGTTTCTGAAATAAACGTAAATCAACTCATTTAAATTTAAGAAATTTCATTACTAAACTGCGTTGCAAATTTTAGACAATCTAACTAAAGATTTCTGGAAACATAGAAAAACTTTGATAAATGAAAATTTTTTCTTTTGGTTTATGATTTTCAAAAATACATAAATTTTACACATAAAGGAAAACAAACTATGTAATTTAAATTCTAAATCTTTGCATTTTCAGGAAATTTAGTATAATCTCTTAATATTAACAAAATCTCATGATTTTTTAAAATATAATGCTTTTAAAACATACATTTATATTATAAATCTTTAATTAATAAGAAATACCTGTAAATAAAATTTTCATGATGACAAAATATAAAATCCAGCTCAATCAAATCTAGAAAGTGGCTCTGAAAAATAATTTTGTTTATGATATGACAGGAAACTATAGATGCAAAATAACTGATTTCAGTAGTGAGGTAGTTGCAATACATGGGTAGCAAGTAAAAATATCCAAGCCATTTTGAATTAATTGAGTAAATGGTGCAGCTCTTTGCATTCGAAAGAACATTGTAGATAATATAGTAAATTTACTATTAAAAATATGAATTACCTAGCGAATTCGTTTCATTGCTTAATCATTCCGAGTACGTCCAGCTCAAACATTTTCGCCATTTTCAATCACGTTCACAAAAAGCGGGCATCCAAGCAGTTGGCGATAGATTTCGTTTGGCAATCACCCATTTCAGCTGATCGCCAAAGTTTAGGGTTATAAAAGGGCGGGCATCCAAGACAGTGCGTTTTTAAAAATAATTTCCGTGATCTCCACGATATTTGGTCAATTTAGGAATTGGTAACTGGGCGGAGTGAGCTTGACGCTAGCTTTTATCCATCAATCTTACTTTGATCAAAGTAAGCGCGCGCAATCAAAGTAAGTCATAAAAGTAAATAAAACAAAAATGGGAACATCGAAATTTTAGGGAAAAGGGAAAATGCGAAGGGGAAAAAAAGTCACGCACTGTTATTGAGAGTATGATATATCAAATGAATAATCTCGGCCTCTGTGTTTTTAAAATTCATTTGAATTCTAAAATTATTTAATGAGGTTTAAAAAATAAAATCATATTTTATTAGACATTGATATAAGTAGTTTAACCAACCCTGTGATTATATTAATGAAAAGAGGAAAATTATTGTTTTTGAAATTAAGTCAATATATAAAAAGTTCCCTGTATTTGTAATTGTCTCTCACTTTGATGTGACGTAATTTACTTTGAAGGGTGTTCAACTTTAATTTCTACTTTGATTCAAACAGCGATAATTGTGCCAATTGTGGGTATCGGTAATTGATTGTTATCCATGACGTATTTGCTTAAGAGGATTCTAAAAATGATAAGGGTCAATTTAAAAGATGCGTTAAATACAATTTTTCCAGTTTCGTAGGGTGAGGAAGCTCGATCCTAACTTTACGTTCGCGGTTACAATCAAGTTAATCACAGAAAAAATTCAAAATAATTATTTCTCAAGCCCATTCTCACTGTATGAAAAATAGCAGGTGAATTTGGAGGGTCACATAAAGCGAAATTTTGAATATTGTGCTAGCGATCTCTGAGGAACCATTTCCATTACATTCTGTACAATACTTGTGCTAGTAGTCCCGCTGTGAACTGATCGTAAAGACACAGTTTCCAGTAGAATACCTCAATCAAGCATCACTGGCTGCGGTCATCAAACGAGTGGAGTGACCACTTTGAGCAAAATGCGTAGGGACCCAGGGCGAGCGGTATTGGTCCTCGTTAAGCTGTTCTACTGTAAAGTGCTCGACTTCTCGAGCAGATCGTCGCGCTACTAAGGCAGGGGAGCCATCCCCTCTGGGGAGGATCAAAATTTCGATGGTATGTCTACGGATCATTCTCAGGAATGTTTCCCAGACCGTCACCAGTAGCCCATTGTGCAATGTAAATAAAGCACCCAAGTGATGGTAGCTTTCCATATTTCTTTCTTATTTAGTTTCTAATGCGGGCTTCACACTTTGAATGCAAAGGGCACAGGAGTCGAATTATCTTTTGTTGGTATTAGCATGTGTATTTTTCCATCTGTATGTCCTTTCTTTCACCAATAAATGGTCTACCTAGGTGGCTATTATAGTTCTTTCGCTTTACCTTGAAATATGTCTTAAATAAAAAGACAAATACACATTTTTAAATCACTATGTATGCAAAAATTTGAATGTCAAAACCAGTTTGATTGCTTTTGAAGCACTAAAGGAGTTTCCATTAATCTTCTTATACCTTTACTGGATTAATTATTCAAATTAATTGGGTTAAAATAGTTTTAAATATTTAAAAAAATCATTTTTATTTAAAAAAATTTTAAAAAGTCGGAAAACAAAGATATATATTACATTTTTTCGTTGTTTTTGTATTCCGGCTTTTTAATTTATTCTTTTTAATAAAAATGTTTTTTTTTTTACGTATTAAATTTTTTTTTCATTTAATAGCTTCTTTTTTCATGAATTTTTATTACATTTTTCTCTCTGTATTTTTGATGCAATTTATTAATTCTATGTACTAGCAACTTTTGTGTAGCAAATAAAGCTATTATTTTTTCTAAATTTTCTTTATTATTCTCGTAATCTTTTATGTTTTTTATTGTGTTATATATATATATATATACCACTTGTTACCATCATTAAAGAATGTTAACTTACTCAAACAAATTTTTTAATTTGTATTCCTTATGCAAGCTATTATTTTGTAATAATTATTATCAAACTCCTTATAAAAAAGCTTATGCTATATCATGCTCTTCTAAAGCCAAATTTTTTAACAACTGATATTGTAAATAGATATAGGAGTAAAAAAAAATTTTTTTTTTAGAAAAATAAACTATACATAAATAAACCTTAACTTTTCAGCATTCTTCTCTGACATCCCTCGTCATATATCAAAAGTAAAACCTGGTCCTACTGGTAATCCATTAGACTTGTTGATTTTAAATTATGAATTGAAATAGTTAAAACGAAAAGACTGTTTCAATAAATGTAAATAAATTTGGATTTCAGTGATATTTGATGAGAAACTTTAGCAACTTGAGAAAAAGCTTCCAGAAAGTTCTAGAAGCATTATTTGATATTCAATAACTTTAGGCATTTGCTATTTGATTCCTACATCGTTTATTATTGTTATTTATAGAGTAACTTTTACATCAAGAAAAGTATTGATTTCTATAAATTTTGCATGCTGAAGCCTTTTACATCTAATACAGAAAAATATATTATTTAAAAATTTATTATACAACTCCACTGAAATCCAATTTTATCTTTTTGCAACATACAAGTAATAGTTCTTAGTTTAAAAAATTTTATTGGTAAAAACATCATTGGATTACAAATCATTTGAAATGGGAAAGAACAATATATTGAATGAAATAATTTTTATAGTAAATTAAACATATTAGTTTAAGGAAATAATTTTAATGGAATACACTGAAACTATGAATGAAGAAATTTATAAGCTTTCTCCCATAAACTATTTTGACTAATTTCTAGTACTTAAAAAGAAGAGAATAAGAACAAAAAGATTGAAGAAAACTGTCACAAAGATTTATAAATATTTTATGTAACATGCATATACATTATGCAGTATCAACATTAAAATTTTACAAAATAAAACAATTAGAAGAAGTTTAAATTTAAAGAAAGAGTCTTGAACTGTTTAATAATGAAAATATAATTTGAATTTTAATCTACAAAAAGATAATAACAAATTCAAAAATTTTTCCAAACATTGCTAGATGACTTCCTATTGTTTGGCAGTAAGCTATTATTACCAATCGATCTAAAGAAAAAATTTCAAATTCTTATTTTTAATCAATATATATGAAATGTTCCATTACTGGGTAGTGTTCCTTCACTGGTTGGTTTACCCTATATACCTCTTGTTACCATCATTAAAGAATGTTAATTTACTCAAACAAATTTTTCAATTTGTATTCCTTATGCAAGCTATTATTTTGTAATAATTATTATCAAACTCCTTATAAAAAAGCTTATGCTATATCATGCTCTTTTAAAGCCAAATTTTTTAACAACTGATATTGTAAATAGATATAGGGGTTAAAAAAAAATTTTTTTTTTAGAAAAATAAACTATACATAAATAAACCTTAACTTTTCATCATTCTTCTCTGACATCCCTCGTCATATATCAAAAGTAAAACCCGGTCCTACTGGTAATCCATTGGACTTGTTGATTTTAAATTATGAATTGAAATAGTTAAAACGAAAAGAATGTTTCAATAAATGTAAATAAATTTGGATTTCAGTGATATTTCATGAGAAACTTTAGCAACTTGAGAAAAAGACATTAAAATTTTACAATATAAAACAATTAAAAGAAGTTTACATTTAAAGAATGAATCTTGAACTGTTTAATAATAAAAATATATTTGAATTTTAATCTACAAAGAATATTTAATAGCAATTTCCTCAGATTTAATGTTTAGAAAATATATTTAAAAACTTTTGTATAGCAATTTTGAATAGGCCATAGTAAAATGTTATTAATCCAATAAAAGATCCAGTACAAGAATTTTTTTTTTTAAATTGCTATCACAATAACCTCCAAAAATAACTAATACTTAATTAAGATTATAAAAGTCCTGATAAGATTAAGATTAATTAAGGTAATTAAGCAAATTAAGATAAAAAGTTATATAAATGATTATGAAAGCTCCCTAAGGTCAAAACATTTTTCTCTGAACACTTTCACTACTGCTCTTTCTACTTCTGTAATTCTATTTCTGCTTCAGCTTGTAATTATTTCCGTCTGTGATATAATACAGGTTATTTTAAATTGCAGAAGAGGAGACGAAGAATAAATTCTGTCAACCTGTAAAAGATAAAAAATATATTATTTCAAAAAAATAAATAAATAAATTAAAGGTTAATAAATCTTTTCTTTACAATTCATTTAATTTTTTTATACTGTTACATTACATTATTATCATTCGATTTTTGTGTGTCTTCTACGGAATTAGTGATTAACATTTGCTACGCCATCAACATCTCCTATTACAATCAGCTAATAATATCAAATTTTTTCCTAATACAATTTCGACTACTCCCCCTTAAAATTTACAAAAAATTCTAATATAATATCAAACATAAAAAAATTCTGAATTTTTTAATATATTTCAGTAAAATTGCTTAAAAGTAATAGTAGTGTTTCAAAATGGTCTACTCCACATAAAATTAAAATGTCTTTATTGAATATTCATTTAGAAAAAATAATTAATAAATTTAAGCTATGTTCAAAATACATAAAGTTACTACTTTACTAAATTTGAAAAGAAATAACTTTCTACTGCTCAAAAATAAATTGCCTATTAATGAGCACTTGAATTGTGCAGACTGTTACTTCCAATTTGTATACTTTTGAGGAGAATGAAGTTAGCAATCAAGTAATAAAATTAGTATCAACTCTTCATTAATATTAAAACAATATTTATAAAATGCATAGATTAAAAGTTTCAATTTACTTTGACAAAACTTGAATTTGATGAGCAGAATGAGAAATATTGAAGGAAAAAAAAAACACTGTAGAAATTTGACAAATCACCATGCTGGAAGACAAAAGAAATATACAACAAGACACATTTGACTGTATAAAAAACACAAGTTTCAACATCCAATTAAATCTGTTTCGATGTTAATTATATCTAAATTTTTCAACTGTAAATAGTCAGATTTCAATAGTGCATTTCCCATACCTTTATACTAATTGCAACATACACACTTTTTGTTTTCCTTTTTGATAGGGATTATAAAAATACATATCAAAAGCAGTATTTAGAGAACAAACTGTTTATTATATATTAAGTATTGTATCTATGTTTGTAAAATTAGCACATTTTAATTAAATTACTTAAGATTTTGCATATTGTATGTTTCCAGAAAGAAAAAAAAGAATTTTTTTTTGCTCTTTCTTAGAGCAAATAATGTAACTTTGAAAGAAAAAAGATTTAATATTACATAAGTTAATAGAATTAAAAGCAAGTCCATAGGAATTCAATTTTATAACTGTAGCATATAGCATAAAGCATCACGAACAGTCCAAAATGAAGTTGAATTAAACATTTTTATTCAACAACAAAACTTTCTATAGTTCATCAAGATAAGATACTCATGAAAATAATGATTATTATACATGGAAATAAGATATTCTTTGTATGAAACAATTTTTGTGTCAAGTAAGCTAGAGTGTATGTGGTCAAATAAAACATTTGGCAAAAAAGATAAAGTCAAACAAACGGACATTTTAAAACTCTCAAGCAAATTTGTATAAAGATCAAACTAATATAAAAAGATCTTAATATTAAGCTAGAAATGCATAAAAATTTAAAATGACTTAATTTTAATATAGAATTAACAACTATTCTAAATCCTAAATAAGACATATGGATCTCCATGTTTTTAAAATTCCACATTTATCATAACACAAAATTTTCTCTATAAGCTATTTTTCTTTAATTAAATATAGACAGAAAGTAACCAAAAACAACAATTACTTACATAAAATTTTGACAGAAAATAATCTGTATTAATATCTACACAGTAATAAAAGTTGAGCAACATAAAAATGATAGAGCTAAAAAACAGTTCAACTAAATATTTTATAAACTTTAATAAAAATTATTAATACACAAACAGATCGGGAATAAATGAACTATAAGGCATGGAATACATATTTTGTTATTATTTCAGACTATTCAGTTCAGAAATACTTCTAATAATCTATTAACTACATAAAGATATCATATATACATTAGTATAACGTATATTAGTATGTGATATAATTAGTAGTATTTTAAATAGAAAACGTAATATTCATTTTAAAAGCACATATAGTTGATTAAAACGAAGAAATTCTCACTTACCCGATAATATAGAGAAGTTTTCAAATCCTATTAGTACATCCAGATTTCTTGAAAAAAAGGTTCTAAATAAACATATTCCCTGTAAACAAAAACAACTTCTTCTAAATCGTCACATTTCCCTAAAAATATTTCCCTACTGGTGAATGCGCGCGCTTACTTTGATCAAAGTACTTTGATCGTGTCAACCCACCTTTACAATAGCTTTTGTTTAAACACCGCCAATTGCTTTGGCGAAAAAGTTTGGCACAGTACAGATTATACAATCAATATAGGGTTAAAAGAAGATTGATGGATAAAAGCTAGCGTCAAGCTCACTCCGCCCAGTTACCAATTCCTAAATTGACCAAATATCAGTATTTTCAACATGGCTGCTGCTTGGCTAACCGATTTTTTAATAAATAAAGACATTTGATTGGTCGAATGCACCATCGTTTTCATCTTTATCGCTTAATCGTTTAGTCAGGTTTACTAGAATGGCATTTTTAGCGTTTTTGTTTGGCGCAATTTTACTAAGGCGCATGCTCGGTTTGATAATTTATTCGAACCAATCGAAACACTTCGTAGACAATGAATATAGAAACATGTATCCCCTCTCTTGCTTGTGTATACTTAGCAGGGACTAATGATACTCAGACAAGGACATAGAAAGATCAATCACTATGGGGCACGGGCGCGTGACGTCACGATCTTTGTTTACATCAAGTGGGTGGCGAGCACTCTAATGTAAGTCTATGGGATTTTTATGTCATTTTGTAATAAAGTAGCAAATTTTATATTTTCCTTCAATTTTTGAAGTATAAAAGGTCGATTTTC